CAAAAGATCATGGATTACAAAAAAATCGATCAAGTATTACAAAAAAATCTATCATGGATTACAAAAAAAAAATTTCTGTACGGACTCGCCGATTCACTGTTCGGACTCGCCGATACCGTACAGTGAATCGGCGATTCACTGTACAGAATCGTTCGGTTCTCTCTAGAACCGAACGTTTTCCGATTTTTAGGCGATTTGGTCCCCTTTTCACGATTTCCGAACCGGGCGAGTCCTGTTCGACTCGCCGTTTTCTAAAACGCTGGTCAGAACTCTATGCTTTTCCCTTGTATTAGGACTTAAGCAACAGGTGGATGATTATTAATCAGTTTATGAAGGATTCTGCAAGATGCCGAAGAGACCCTTATCCAGCACTGTTTGCATATGCTTCCCGTCAAAATTTCTTATTTGAATATAAAATGCACTTATGCATGATTGAGTTAACATGTGGTCATCCACCTTGATTTTTCAGAACTTACCTCAATGACAATTGGCTTCTTACCATTAACTTCCTCATAGCTTTTGTCCCCCCACCATCTCCTTGTTGTCTGCCATTGATCTGTAATTGCAGCCTCCTCTAGTGGTGACATCAGCAAGGTGACCAATACCACCTGTGACTCTGCAGATGACCTGAGCCTTTTAAATTGCCAATTAACACTGTTAAGGACAAAAATATATAATTTCTCACAACAAATACCAACAGAGATTGCTGGGAAAATTGTGATTTTGGCAAATGCATTAGGGTACAATTGTTATAAACCAATATGATTTGGAATTTTCAAAAGAATGTGTCTATAGTTACCAACAAATAATTGATGTAACAAAATGTTACATGGTAATGTGTCCATAGTTACCTACAAATAATTGATGTAACAAAATGTTGCATCGTATATTACCTGAGATGATAAGAGCCCAATGAAGGGCTGGACAAAATCTGTGGGGCAGAGTAATGCACACAATAGCACAGTGAACTATTATGGAATCTGGACAAGATTTAGGAAAAGGGTGATTACTTGATTCATGACTCAAAATTCAGAATTTCAAATTTATTAACATGGCCATGTTATCCTCTTTATTCCATGGAATAGCCATTGGAGAAGTTGAACCCAGCTCTATATAGAACAACTTTAATTGTTCACTTTCTGTTGGAGTTCTCTGTGGTTTAGACTGCTTTACTATGCATGAGTACAAAGCACCATTAATTTGTTTTATATTTTAGTTTGTAGATAGCTGGACTGTATAAAATATAATCACCCACTTCCTTTGAAATTTCTGAATTAGTTGCAACCATGGCTACTCTTGGATGCTATAGCATGCACAGAAACAGTTACTAGGACCTAATTCCAGTATAACAATGTGCCAACAAAGACCTAATGTTTATGTTTATGTTCTACCAATAGATACACTGGAAATTTCACTGGCCAATTATTTTTGAAGCTTAGAATAGATCTGATACTCCCATACAATCCTGGATGGGCATTAATCCTGGAGGGCAACTTTTGCTTCTCCCTGTCCATTCTACCAGTCAATAGCGGACATTAAGACAATCCTGGAATTATAATGGAACTAATTTGTGCATTATAATGAACTTCTGAATATTCTCCTGTAATTGTCCTTGCATGCACCAATTGATCAGGCTTACAGGTCATCTGCCAAAATGACAAACTTGGGGCGGATAATGGATACTTATGGGCCAAAACTTCTAGGACACTCATATTGTGATCCCATTACAAGTTATGACAAGTTTCATCAGTTCTCAGTCCATCATCCAGAGGTAAAGAAACAATCCATTTAGTCATTTTGTGTACAGATTTCTTGTGTTCATTGAGCCAAAAGGCAGTTACTTTAGGGTTTTTACTTCAATAATAGTAGTAGATATCATCTATCTAATAAAGGTATCTTCCGTGAGTTGTTTTTTCTATTGATGATTATTTATTTTGTTAAATGTTTGACTGCAGATTTATTGGTCCATTGTTTTAAGAGAACTTTCACTCACATTTCATAGAGGTCCAGAGCGTATTCTCAATACTGGAGACAGCTCAAGGCACAGGGGCATTTGGTTGCAAGGTTCTCTCCTGAATATTGCTGAGTGCTGTCTCTTGCCCATGGAAAATCTGAACAAGCATGATGATAATGTAGCTGTTGTTTGGAGAGACGAGGGTCTTGATGACTTCCCCATTAATCATATGACTTTGAGAGAACTGCGAGGTCAAGCAATGTAAGTTTGGACTGTGGAATATGAAATTTGCTTTTATACAGGTATATAAGTTGAAATGCATTTTAAAAGCGTCCCTGCTTTATTACAACTCTGAATTTCCACATGATTAAGTGCACCTTTAGATGCTTGTCTTTTGTTCTACAGGAGTGTGGCAAATTCACTCGATGCCATATTCTCCAAGGGTGATGCAATTGCCATAGACATGCCAATGACAGTAAATGCAGTTGTCATATACCTTGCAATTGTTCTAGCGGGATTTGTTGTTGTCCATGGCAGACAGTTTTGCAGCAAAGGAAATTGCAACACGCCTGCATGTGTCTAAAGCAAAGGGCATCTTCACACAGGTATTCTTTTTCTAATGGGGTTTTTTAAGTAATGGAACAGAAAACACCATCTTGATCATATTTATTACGGTTCAAGCATGTAATCTTCTAACTCTATTGATGTTCACTATTCCACTGTGGCTGCTTTATCTCTAGCTATACCACAAAAAAATTATAAGCAATATGATTTTTCTAATTATTGTTTACACGTGGTTGGTAATTAAGAAATTATTCACTACTTACAAATAAAAGAAGGGTGTGGTTTGTATAAAGCTGAGGCCCTAAACAATCAAAGTGTCTAATCATAAAATCTAAAGATTAAAAAATAGCGTACATCAAATAGATCTATGAACACTTGAAAATATTGAAAATCAACAGTCTAGATAATGCATTACAAGATGCACTATTTCCAAGACCCGAAGTCCATTTTTTTGCATGTCCATGGATCTAAAGCTCGAGATGATCAGATTTGAGGGTTTTTCGACATTGAAACAACTTCTTGTGAATTTTTGAGGTACGCCTTAGTTTGATTGTTTAGAGCCTCAACCTTATATAAACTTTTTCCATAAAAGAAATCTTTGATTACTTGGAGTCTTCCATTTTCTTTTTCTTTTTTTTTGAACATTACTTGGAGTCTTCCATTTTTTTGATTATGTTGCTCATCCAGAATAGATTCTAGGGAGTCCACGTAGACTTTCTCATGCATGTATCTGTAGATTTCTAGCATGAGCACAAGGAAAATTTTCTATAAAAAAATCTCACTATTATATAATATTAAGCTT